AGCAAGGACGTTACTAGGGGACTCCTGGCCTTACTACTAGGAAAAAGAGGCCAGGAGCAAGGATGCTACTAGTAGCTCCTGGCCTTACTACTAGGAACAAAAACGCTACCAGGAGCAAAGGGCATCGCTACTAGGAGCAAGGACGTTACTAGGGGACTCCTGGCCTTACTACTAGGAACAAGAGGCTACTGGGAGCAAAGGGCATCGCTACCAGGAGCAAGGATGCTACTAGTAGCTCCTGGCCCTACTAGGAACAAGAACGCTACCAGGAGCAAAGGGCATCGCTACCAGGAGCAAGGACGTTACTAGGGGACTCCTGGCCTTACTACTAGGAACAAGAGGCTATTGGGAGCAAAGGGCATCGCTACCAGGAGCAAGGATGCTACTAGTAGCTCCTGGCCTTACTACTAGGAACAAGAACGCTACCAGGAGCAAAGGGCATCGCTACCAGGAGCAAGGACGTTACTAGGGGACTCCTGGCCTTACTACTAGGAACAAGAATGCTACTAGAAGACTAGAAGCCATTTGTCCCGTCTCAGGATGTCGCGTCCGCTCGTCGCTTCAGGAGGTCACGGTGCATTTCTTGGATCCCAATGTGGATGGCCTCCCGAGGTACCCAGCCGACGGCAGCGGCTGCCGTCGGAGGAGCGAATTCAAGCGGGTGCAGGAGGGTATACGAGTTGCTTTCATTTGGAAACGCCCACTGACCTGCCGGAAGGGCAACAAACTACCCTGGCAGTGGGACACCCTGTCCAAAGATTTCCCAAACCACTAAAAGCATCTTCTAATTTTTGCACTCCTCTTCCCTGCTAGGGGCAGCGTTGGTTTTGGGGCAGACCTTTTTCGCTTGGCATCGGAAGTGAAACTGGTGTTTCGAGGGTTGTGCGTTCGGATGCTGGAAGGAATTGAACGAGTGGATGGTGCATTTTGGGGTTTCCGCTGTTAAAGAACCACGACTGGGAGAAAACTTTGGGAGTTCAGACCGCCTCGGGCCGCCTCGGGTCGAGTGGCTCAACAGCCGCAGTTTCGCATGGCTCGCATGGCTCAGTCTCGCACGTTTCGCAGACATTCCGTTCGAACACGTGAAGACGAGAGTAGATTCGGACTCAGCCGATGTCACGTCAAAGGACCTACGTAGCAAGGCCCGAGCCCTCCTTCCGTGGCTTGGGATGGGCCGACGTGGCTGAGAATGCACCCGTTTGGTGGCATGGCAAAGAACCATGGTGAAACACGGCGGCCGCGCTTTCGCGTAGCTCAGCTGGAATGATGAAACAACGTTTCGCAGACGAAGCGATGGCCGCTCAACCCGGCTGACCATGGATTCATGGCCGGGTTCAACTTTTTGCAAACAGCGGTTCACTGATAGATTCAGTAAATCTGTTGATGGATGCACCTTGGCACACAATGGAGGTTTGTTGATGTTGTCATCCCTGCTTGCTGCTGGGAGTGCGAAACCCTGGGCAGTGCGAAACGCGCCCATCCAGGTGTGTCGCGAAGCTCCCACCAATGTTGGCAGTGGCATGCTACGGCCCCCTGGACTCAATAATGACCTAGTTGAACTGTTTTCTCCAGCCTTAAATGCTGACCACCCCTAGCGTTTGAGATTTTGCTTGGATGTTGCGCTGCTATGACTAGAGGACCTCTGAGGCATACTCTTTTGGTTCTTTATGATGCTTTGTGGCGTTAGACGTGAAGGCTAGAGGTGCAACCGAAATCGCGGCCGAGGCTACGAAGGATTTGGCCGCTCGGACCAACGGACGCACGCTGTGGAGCGAACGGATGTGTGGAGCGAAGAAACGCATTTCAGGAAGACAAGTCATCGCCTGCAAGAAACATGAAACCTGGTGTCTAGTGACATTGGCACGGCGACATGTTTCACTGTGCGACATTGGCCTCCCTCGAAATGCAGAACTGTTTTCTTGCACAGTTTGGCTGAATCCATGTCCCTTCGAGCCCTTTGGGTCTCCAAACTGAGTTTTCAACCGGATTTTGCTGCCTTGGGCTGGCAACGGCACTCAATCGCTTTTTGCCGCAGGCAGCCTTGCATGATCTTGGAATTGTTGTCATTTGGACAGGTTGACGCTTAAGAGCTTTTCCAGTGTCCAAGGCACCCTGAGAACAGATTCTTCATGTAGGCTGCTTTGAATGATAACCATGGTGCATATATACTTGATGGCAAATCCCTTTGCTCAAAGTTCCACTTGGTTCGTTTGAGTGGTTTGGTTCTTCAGGCGCACTGACATACAACCTTCTCTGGCTCCTGTCCTTCATCAGCTTTCTACGAGGCTGCAATGTTTCTGCTGAATGTACGCAAGACGTACTGATGTATGTCACATGCGCTTTCGATGCCATTCTTCCAGGTTGCCTCACTGATCCAGGCCTTTTAGATTCAGATTGGTGGAGGCGAACAGACGGGGAAGCGAATGCAAAAGCACCGTGCCGAGCCCCGTTTTCACCCGCGACCCGCAGGGGACGGGATGACAGCTCACTGCGCAGCTCTTTGCGTCAAGACTGGGCTTTGCTACCATGTCGCCACTGTGGTCCCCGACCGGAAAGGAGCAGCTTAGAGCGAGGAAGAGCGAAGATCGGAGACGTACTAAGACAACACATTCTGTAGACTAGACTATATACTGATAGACTGATAGAACCTAATAGCAAAGGGTCAGGGAACCTAATAGCAATGGCCTCCAACCCAATAGCAATGGCCTCCAACCTTTTAGCGTGGGCCTCCAACCTACTAGCGATGGCCTCCAACCTAATAGCTTCGAGATGGCGGTTTGTTCTTGTTCATCATTCTTTTGGTGGGAGATGCGTTTAGAACGTTTCACCAAAGACACAACGACTTCGAATCAAGCTTGTCCTGTTTACCAAGGCCATCATTGCAAGAGTTGTGGTGGCTGCATTTTGCGCCACATGGAGAAAACACCGACACCGGCGCAAAATGTCCCGCGTGGTCAGACCCAATGCTTTCCTAGGCCAAGGTGAGCACATAGTGATCAGAGTCACCAAACAAGAAGCTTCTCAGAACGATCCCGCATTTTGGGGGTGGTTCTTGCTGATGCATGAGCTGGCGCTGTGCTGATGGATGCTGCATTTTGAGGCTTCCCAAGTGTTCTGTCCGACTCTTTGGATGTTTGACCCCAAATCCATTGGATTCAATTTCAGGTCACCCACCCGGCGACGGTTCCCCGTGTCCACATCATCCACTCCTGGTGGGACTAGGACAGACGACGTCAATGACACGACTAGGACGTTTGCCCAAGGTATGGACCATCATTGTCCATGGATGGATAACTGTGTGGGCTTGAAGAACCACAAATTCTTCCTGAAGCTTGGCGTAGAGTATCAGAACACCCGCATCCCCATGGAGGTGGCGTCTTTCGATTGGTCAAGATCAGCAAATCTCAAAACCGACGGTGGAGGACCTAGTGTGTGAAGTTTTGGTGTACTTGAGAGAGTTGTACCACTTATCCCCTCCAAGTGGACTGATAAACCAACGCTCTTTCTTCCTTGAAGAACGTGTGAACCAGTGGAAGTGCGAGGAAATGCCTCGAAGTGTTGTACTGAGGCAATGCTGCTTCTATGGCGCGGGTGCTGCAGCTGTTTTCCTGTGGCATGCAGCGCCGGTGCGGGGAAAGGACCGGACAAAAAACGACAGCCTTGCTATTGCAAATAGGACGCTACTAGGAACAAGTGCATCGCTACTAGTAACAAGTGCCTTACTACTAGTAACAATAAGAATTTAATTAGAATTCTAATTATATAATAGCAAACATTGTTACTACTAGTAAGGCACTTGTTACTACTAGCGAGGCACTTGTAATTACTAGCAAAGGAATCTACTTGTAATTAGAATCTAATTAGGAACAAATAGCATTAGGATCCGGTCCTCTGCTCCATTTTGTCCACAACTGCTTTTCACTTCCATGCTCGGACGGTTTCGCCCTCATCTTTTACAGTTTGGCAAGCCTCCAACCTGGCGATGGCCTCCAACTTAATAGCAATGGCCTCCAACAAGTCAGGTTTTTTGGAGACCTTTGAGTTCTGTCCAAACCGCACACTGAGATCTTCGGGATCCTTCTGCCACCCGTGCGCATGCCTCGCCTTCTGGACATGGAGGTGAGCCGCTTGGGCTGTTCGAAGAGCAGCACGCGTCTTGCATTCCGTTTCGCCTCCGTTTGCCCTTCTACACCCTGGAAGACTAACATGGACCCTGAAAACCACTGGTTAGTAGAGGAAAACACTCTTCCAGGGGGCCATTGTCAGGGTCTATGTTAGTTTTCGGGAGTGTAAATCTTCTAAGGAGGTACTCGTAGGTACTTTTGAAGCTGCTGAAGCTTGATTAGCTAGTCATCAGAGCAAGTCATCGACATCTTCGAGTCTTTGCACCACATGTTGGGGGAACAGCAGCAGCAAGTCATCGATGGTTCTCCACGCTGGAGGTGGAACAGCAGCAGCTGATTCATGAAGCAGGACTCCTTTCTATTGCCTGTGGGTTAGCGGCCTCCTTTTGCGTGCCCGAGCGCATCGTTCAGCTCGTCCAATGGTTTGAACAAAAGCTGCAGAATGTCTAAATTCAATCCCATTCGAAAATGCATCGTGTGCCGAGCGCACCGTGTCCCAATCATATCATCAGTAGCGATGCACTTGCTACTAGTTACTAGGAGCTCGTTACTACTAGTGGTAATTGCCTCCACCCTACTAGCGACGGCCTCCACCTAATAGCGTCCTTGCTACCAGTAGCTTCTTGTTCCTAGTAGTAAGGCCAGGAGCTACTAGTAGCGTCCTTGCTCCTAGTAGCGATGCCCTTTGCTCCGTTCGTAGCGTCCTCTTGCTACTCTTCTTTTTTTCCGCTTTTCACCTCGACGGGCGCAAGTTGCTTCGAGGTGGCGTTGGGTGGGCTTTTCCTGAGCAACTTCTACGACACCTTGCGAAATCGAACCAGCATCGAGTCTCGCTTCGCAGGCGACTTTTCAGTGCGGCACGGTAGTGTGTAGCGTGGCATGGAAAGGATGGTACGGTGTGGAATTTGAAAAAGAACGTGCCTCAATCTAAAGCTTCATCCCTTTCTAATTCTAAGTCCGGAATTTGGGAGACTTACAGTATATGTAAACCAATTGGTTTGCATATTGTACCCGAAGATCTAGCCTCTCTCAGACGAAGAAGTGGAACAGGGATCCCATGGATGATTGCCTGAGGCGCCTAGGGTACTAGGTAAGCTTTCAACGTCAGTTGTTCGGTAAGCGCCACTGCACCATGCTGCGCCATGCTGCGCCATGCTGCGCCACTGCGCAGGCAGAAATCCATACGACTTGGGAATGCTCCGTGACCTGCACCTGAAATAGGATCCGTTGTTGCTGTGATCGTTTGCTCGGGTCTAGGATAGGCCACATTGTATCCACATCTTATCCCGCAATGGGAGAAGAGCAAGGGACAATCGTTGAGTGCTTCAGATGTCCTTCTACTTTGAGTTCTCTATAGTTATCTTAAAGAACTGAATAAACAATCGTTGCCAATCCATTCCCTACCTGCCTGATCTATCGACCGCTTCGCCGCGGAGGCAATTTCCAGCAAGTCTTTGGGCCCCTCCGAAGCGCATGGCTTCCTCTGGAGCTTGAGGAGCGGAAATGGAAGGGATCGACATGTCTCTCAGTCGATGTTAAGCCACTTCAAGTTCCCGTTTTGATCGACACATCCTCCTGTGGAGGGACCACGTCCTGACAACGACCCTGCCCAGAGACAGTACAATGACCACCAGACAGTGCAAAGACCAGAGGATTGGCAGGATGTCGCCATTAGCTCTTTGCAATTGAACACCGGTCACCGGTCCCTTTTCAATACGGGTGCTCCTGGGAGATGTTTTTCATGCAAAAACATAGCAAAAACACTGTGTTTTACAGTGATTTTTGGCTAACACATCACCAACACCTAGGTTTTGAGCTATTTTTAGATCAATTTTGTGAGGACCAGGCCTGTAACAGTTTAGAGGGGATACATTGTGTTTTACAATGAGTCTCTTGGAGAAAGCTCTTTGCAGGTGGCGGAAGACCATGGCTATCGCTACCCACTGCGGATGGACGTTTGAAAAGAGCTGATGGATGCAGAGATGTGTTTGGCAGAGTCTCAGAACATGTCTAGGGCATCTGGGGATGTGTCAGAAGCTTGCGCGACATCCCTCAGTTGGATCGCGTTTCAATGGTTTTTTGATCTTGACCCCTGACCGGTTTGACACATTCAATTTCCTTGGTGCGACATAGAGAAGACATCCTGCGGGGAGCCTTGTGTGTGTATAAAAACAGGGAGACCTCCCAGTTCGACCCTCCGGAAGAAGGGAAATAGACCAGTCTACCCAGCCAGGGCCGGGAAAGCAACCAGGCCATTGCTACTAGCAACAAAAGCATCACTACTAGTAATTAGCTAAGAAGTTACATGTAGCAATGTGCCTTATTACTAGTAGCTTGTTACTAGATCAGGCACCTTGCTAACCCCCCCCATGTTCTGATTGGAACCCCGGGGTGATGGTTTCATCATGTTTCATCCACCTCCTCACAGCACCGACCCTTTCGCTTCGGACCCTTTCGCCCTCCAGGCGCATGTCGGTGAAGGCACCTGTGGGGTCCACTCTGGTGGATGTCGCCAAGGACCGACCAACGGTTCGGACTGGACCGGTGGGGGGGGGGGTTTTCCAGAGCGCCACACTCACAGGCTGTTTGGATGAAATATCACAAGGTGCCCAGAGAATGACGTTTTTCTGTTTTCTTTTTTAATTGATGGACATTCTGACACTTCTGTTTCAGTTCATCACTCAGACTCCCAACCCAAGGCTCAGGTCCATTCTCCATAGGTCTGCTCATTCCATCAAAAGATACACCCTACTTGTGACTCACAATGCCACGTTCACCCCCGAAACACGCCACGTGCGACAGGAGCATGGTGTTGACATTCATGCTGCTTGTGGGCAGAAGCTTCAGGCGCTTGAGACGGACGCTCACCCACTCGTGTCCAGCGGAAGTGGCTCAGCGAAGCACGAGCTTCATGCCCAAGAGAATGGAGAACTATATAAGAAGGATCATAATATGTTGGACATGATAGACAGTGACACACCATCAGTGTGTTTAGCTTATTTCAAGAGCGCTGATCTTTCCAAGCCTACTGATAGAACTCAGAAAGATGATCTTGTTTGACCACCGTGCCAGTGTGCCACCTGCCACGTGATTTTGGAGCAGCCGTTCTTCGAACGCCTTCAAGGTCCTGGTGTGCGAGAGGCAGCTTGGGCGAAGAAGCGAAGCCATGACAAGCTCCGTGAGAGTGCATTTCTTACACGTAAAAGAATGACAAGAATACATGATGATTCACTATGAATCCATGGGGAAACGAAGAGACTATAGAGATGGAGGCTATGAGAAGATCGAACTCTTCCCCACGGCAGAGTAGGGTGTTTGGACATCCAAAGTGCCAAATTCTCGTGAGAAACGAATGATAGGTTCCTTATGATATGGGCAATGGCGTCAACAGAACTGTATTGGTGAATCGTCTTTCCATTCCACCGCTTCCGTTTTCAGTCGTGACGTTGTTGAATGAAACCAACGAGAGCCGGCCGAAGAAACGAAGCCGAGTCATGATAGTCATCGTTTGAAATAGGTCATAAAATATGTCTGAAACGCCTCAGAAAGAAACAACATAACATAATTTTAGTGTTTGTTGCAGGAAGACCTACTGGACTCCACCTTCACCCTCACTGACACTTCCCGATTGGGATGCCAGGTGGGGATTGTCGCGGTGTGTTTTGTGAGAGTCAAATTCGTTGCCGTGACGATGCGTTTGCAGCGCCTATGAAACTGGGCCAGGGATTGCAACAGCAAGGTGAGTAATCAGATTGTATTTGATCTTTTGTTGGATTGGGGTGTTGTCCCATAGAACATCAGATCTTTGAGCAAGCGTGCCGGCTTGTTAGACAAACCCAATGTGCTGGCAGGTCCGCTTGACTGAAGAGTTGGATGGCATACAGCGCTTTGGCTTGCAACGTTTGAAGGGTCACTTAGCCAGGAGCCCCGAACGTAGCTTCTTGTTCCTTGAAGGGTCACTCAGCGTTTCGAAGACTTGATGTGCGACGCGTTGCCTAAGAAGACGGCCGTGACGGTGTCTCGCCAGAGGTGCACCCTGCCAGATAGCGGAGCCAAAGGAAATGTACGAATGACATTGGAGATGCCCCGGCCCAAAGGCCAACCGCCAGATGGGGTCAGGGGATGGAAGGGGTCTCACCGGTTTTTGCGTCGAATGATGGAACGCCCGAGTTCCCATGTTGCCTCACAAGAACCATGGAAATCATGTTCGCTTTCCTTCGATGCCACGATATGCCACGTATTGGAGTCAGATGGTAGAACGATCGATTGCAGCAAAGCTGTAGTTCCTGGTGGAAGATGCTATATATCTATTTAATCCAAATTAGCCGTCTCGTGGTCGTGTGTTGTGGAATAGCAGAATTTTGCAGAAGTCCCACAACCGCCAATCGTTCTTTGGTGGAAGAATGAACCGAAACCGCCTTCAGCCGACCAACCACGCCCAGTCCAAATGCAGCTTCCGGGGGCTCCGGCTGTGGCACCTTCTGTGAAGCGAGGCAACTGCAACAGCAAACTGTACCTTGCAGTTGCAGGAAAAGATGAAACAGTCTTCAAGAATTTTGTTTGTCTACGTTTGCAGATGGACTTGAGCAGACTTAGTGACTTGAGCAGACTTTGGGCATCTTTGATGTCATTTTCTCAATGAGACATCCGAGAAAAGAAGGACGTCCTTACTGAAACCCTCAGGTGGAACCGCACAGCCCACTGTTGGCCATGCTGGCATACTTACTTGCAGCGACGAGTTCGGAATAGAGTACCAGGATGGTTGGCATGGAGCAGAGTCCTGCGTTTCATGCGGGACATCCGAGAATCAATTTTATGTCATGAAAGACATATGCTTGAAAAACATCTGCCAGAAGAGCTGCTGAAACGCCAAGAAGCACTTTCAGCAAGGCACGCTTCCGCAGAGGAACGTGCGAAAGTCCCGGCGGTTAAAGCAGTCGCTTTGAGCGAACACTCCAGGGCAGGGACGGCACCTTTTGGACCTTGTCATGATGCGGGGTACAGCCATTCCACACCGCAAGTCTCAGGTTTCTTATTCAAATCCAAATGTCAAACTCTTGTGTCTCAAAATCTGTGGTTCTGTCCAGCCAAGTATGACAGAACCACGTGGGGAGGCAGACACAGATATCTCACGGCCACGGGTTGGAGGGTCTCAATTTCGCGTAACGAGCTTTGCAGGTTGGAGGCGCATCTCCGTGAGATCCAGGCCAAAGCTGCCAGGAGATGCCATGCGACGCCACACGCGTCGTCAGACGCCACGAGTCACGCGTGCCCGTTTCATGGCGGCCTATGGGTCTGTAGCGAGATGCGAGACATTTTTTTTCTGGAGTTTGAATGACGCCTTGAAGTGAAAAAGGTGCATTTGATGTTCTCCAGCGGCGTGTGGAGGAAACCTGAAGAGACCAATGCATCCGACAACTCCGGTACGGGCCACACAAGCACAGAAAGAATCGTCCTGTCATAGGATCGTACGAGGTTTTGTCAATGTGATTCACAGATGCAATTTGGCGCCGGAACAGGACACCTTCAGAACATGGCAAGGACGCTACTAGGACTAGGAGCAAGGATGCTACAAGTAGCTCCTGGCATCGCTACTAGGAACAAAGGGCATCGCTACTAGTAACAAGAATGCTAATAATAGCTCCTGGCCTTACTACTAGTAACAAGAAGCTATTTCATTTCCTTGGTTTATCAATCTTGTCCCGCTTGAATATGTCGTTCTCTGAGGCCAATCTGCGGAAGAAGAGAAGGAAGACTTGTCCAAATTGAAGGTGTGGACACCGAGAGCTTGTGGAATCGATCTCAAAGACATGCGGGAAGAACCACTATCACTACGTAGTAGTGGCTGGAGAATATGTTTTCCATTGTTTTCCAGGCTTTCCATATACTCGGAGTTTTGATGAATGGATGTACAATGGATGTATACAAACATGAATCTTGAAGGTGATGCTACGGCGCTTCGATAGCCGCTGTTGAACTAGATTGCTTGTGCTCCAAGAGCGTGGCACACCTGTACTCAGAACACACCAGAACATGCCTCAGCCTGAGCTGACTCGGTCATCAGCCAATCCTTTTTCATCAAGGCACGTTTACGCGGCCTGTGCCGGAAAAAGAAGGGTTGTGTCAGTTGTCTCTATCCCTTGCCGTTTGGGATTCGATCACGATGTCTCTGACATCTGCAGATCTTAAGAACAGGTTGAAGGAGTCTGAGTGTCAAGGCCTTGTTCTGGACATTGATGAGACCCTGGCAGCTACAAATGTGGCATGGTTCCAACGCTTGGCTGCGCTCTTTGGACAACCACCAGACATGTCTGTTGATCAGCTGCTTGAAACATACCACTTGGCGCAGCATGTGCCATGTTGGCAGACTGCGGAGGCTGCAGATTGGATGGCGGCTCAGAGAATTTCGCCTGAAGCACAGGATGGTTTACCCATCATCTCGGGTGCGGTGGAAGGGGTTCGAAAGTTACAAGAGATTACTCCGCTGGTCGGATATCTCACGGTACGTCCGGAATCGGTGGCAAAGAACACCATTGCATGGTTGAAAGCTTCGGGATTTCCAGATCTGCCAGTGGTTTCAAAGCCTGATGACCTTCCCTTCCAGGAAGGAAATCCATGGAAAGCCAAGACTTTCGCCTTAAAGAAGACTTGGATTTTTTCGTGTATAAGACTTTCAGTACCTTCCTTGCTGCCGTGGTTTTCAACGTGTTTCACCTTTCTACCGTGATACCAAGGACTCTCCACGAATTGTGGCCTCAGGTGATCGGTATCGTGGACGACAATCCAAAGCTGCCAGAAACTCTGGGAGCAGAATCTTCGTTGATCCCAGCAGAATCTTCGTTCGTTTTGTTGAGCTCTATTGTCCAGTGCCCAACCCAGAACCACACAGACTTCAGTCATCTTCAGTCAGTCTAGTGCCTTTAGTTATATTATAAATTAGTTATGTTTTTTGTTCTCCGCCAGGAGCCTTCTGCTGAGGACTATCCTGGCCTCCTCTTCTTTTTCTCCCATACCACCTCGCAGCATCGTTGGGCTATCCCTTGTCCTGACTGGTCCTCTGTGGTGCTGCACGCCAACAGGATGCCACTGACCCTACAGGGTCCGGTGCCCGTACTGTCCGGTGCCCTGCGCGGGGTGCAGCTGCGACCATATCGTCCAGATGATGTGGGTGAGCTGCAAAGGCATGCGGACAATATCAATGTCGCGAAGCGCTTACGTTCCATTTTCCCACATCCCTACACTCGAGCCGATGCCGAATCACGGATATCTTTATCGAAAGCTCTCTGCTGTTGGGCCATCACCTTTGATGGAAAGGTGATTGGAAACATTGGGCTGATGAAATCTGAGACTTGCAAGTGGGACTTGCCTGTTAAGGTTCAACGATTTGGAGAGCTTGGGTATTGGTTGCTTGTCTGTGTGTCAGGATTTATATAGTTGGTTTTTGTACCTTTTCGTGAGCTCCTGGTGGTTTCAACCTTTTTTGTTGATATCCAATTGTGACTGGCTTGCCATTGCGCAGCATGTGTGATGTTTGCCAAAGACCGCTTGCATCGAAGGCTTGGAGAAGACTACTGGGGGAAAGGCTTTGCAAGTGAAGCGGTGTCTGTCCTTCTGACATATTTGCGGCCGTACAAATGGCTGGTCGCCGTGAGGGTCGCAGCAGAGAACTCGGCATCCCGGCGTGTCATTGAAAAAGCAGGATTTACCAAATACAGACGCGTGGAAGAGGCTGAAGAACCACACCCAGTCAATAAGAAGTCTCGCAAGGTGGACTGTGATGACTTTTGGATGCAGTTGTGATGCAAGAGCTTCCAGCTGCAAGTAAATTTTAGACGGAAGCTGTGACCGAAGAGACTTTCATGGGTGCTGCAGATGTATCCAAAAGAGGAGCGAACATTTTTGAAGACTGAACATGCTTCGCGAAGTTGGGGAGCTGGGAGCAATTCTGTCCCTTTGCTGACCACGTCGACCTTTGTTGGCAGACGATCAACCACCAGAATCGAAGCGTTTTGTGGAAGTAGATGTCGTTCACCCAGCTTTTTAGCTGGAGGCCATCGCTACTAGGTTGGTGTCCTTCGCGCTCGCCCTTCAGTCGATCAGGCTGAGCTGCAAAAGACGCGGGTGGAGACGGAGAAGCTGGGCCGCAAAGCCAGGTCGCTCCATGGGGTCCGTCCGTCTTCACGGGAGACGTAGCGAGTCCAGACGAAGGTCTCCCATCACGAAGAGCGATGCCTTCCGGGCCGAAGAATGTTCTGGGGGCCTTTTGGTTGCTTTCAGATTTGATGCGACCGAGAGTATCTGACAATGTGGAAGCTAGGAACTGTGCTTCTGTTTGGCATGTTTTCAGCCAGGTTTGAGGATGTCATCGGCTTGGCTGCAGCGAAAGAGGCCATCAAAGAGGCGCTCTTCCTCAAAGCTCACTAGGAGTGCCTTTTGAACTATTTCTTTGGCAGACAATATTGGACTTTACCATTTTAGTCTTTTGCCCTTGAAACGCCAACCAGACAAATTGCTTTGTCTAATGGCAGGCTATTCTTTGGCCTGCAATGGCCAGGCGAGAACTTGCATGAGACTCAGTGCGAGATGTTGGTTCAAGAAGAGATCTGAGATACCTGATGATACTGCAGGTATTGCATGAGATTTGTTTGTTTTTGTAGAAGGGACAGTTTTCCAGAAAAGATGCTTAAAGATAATTGAACATCGTTTGCTGGCCGATTTCGTTTGAACAACACATCCTTCCTTGCCACTAAGTTCTCTGGCGTTCGCAGTGGGCCAAAGGGATTGCTACTCTACGGTGTCTTGGACCAACCAACGGAAGTCAGGAATGGTGACCTGTACTAGTAGCAAGAAGCTACCAGGTTGGAGGCCATCGCAATTAGGTTGGAGGCCATCGCTAGTAGGTTGGAGACCGTCGCGAGTAGGTTGGAGGCCATTACTACTAGTAGCAAGAAGCTACCAGGTTGGAGGCCATCACTATTAGGTTGGAGGCCATTACTACTAGTGTCCTTTGTATGCCCCCAAACCTATGTTGTAATGGGAAAAAGCGCCGTGACTCTCACTTTCAGGCCCTCCTGGCTGTGGAAAGACCATGCTGGCAAGAGCTGCTGCAGTGGAGTTGGAGGGTGATGCGAGTTTCTTCCACAGCCTGGGCCACATCACATGAGTTTGGTGGAGATGCAAAGGTCATCAGCTACTTTCTAGTTGGATACTGGAAGATACTGGTAGCAGGTAGCTAATGATTGCATTTGTTATTCGGCTTTTTTGATCGCTTGCCCAGACCATGACCTTGGGTGACATGAATTTGATGGATCATAAGCACCCAGGAAACAAAGAAACAAAGACATGTTCAGTTGATGAGCAGTATGGTGGTGTGAATCGGTGTGAATGCGGTGAATGCAGTCAATGTGCAGTGAACCCCGAGTTCGCCCGGGCGATGTCATGTCCAAGTTCTACGGAGAATCCCAGAAGAGAGTTCAGGCCCAAAGGGCAGAGTGCATCGCAAAACGCCGTGATGCATGTTCTTTCTAATAGCGACCTAGTAGCGATGGCCTCCATGGCTGCTGGAAAGATATGTTCATGTGTTCTTGCTTGGAAAGAACAAGTTTTGTTGAAACCAATGTTCCATTGCTTTGCGGATGCAAGGCTTGGTTCTTCCATGTTCTGCCATGTTCGTCTTTGCAAACCTGCATACTTCCGCAAGGCTTTGGAAGAGGTCGTGCAAGAAGCTGCACCCGCTGTGGTCTTTTTCGATGAGGCACCTGTTTTTCTCTCTCCTCGAACCGTTTCGACTTGGCAGGTGTTGTACACAAGTATATACAGTACCTTTTCTCGAACAATCATGGAAGTGAACAAGGGCCTCCTGGAATCTACAAACAGGGGGTTGTCCACTTCCATGTTTGTTTCAGGGAGTGTAAGCTTCCCTAAAAGTCTAGGAACCAAATCAATCATTGGCTGAGCTATCCTGCGTCCAGTTTTTACTGGAAGCTATCTAGTAGCGCCTACTTAATCAAGTACGAGCAGGCAACAAAATCGACACAACATGTATGAAAAGGGAATCACGACTTCCTGCGGTTCGAGAGCGCCGTCGGACTCCGCATCGAGAGGTGGACTCCCTTTTGGGAAGCCGTGATGGCGGAGGTGTCGCTGAGGCGGTGCTGTGTTGAACGCTGAGCTCGACGGGTAGACAGACAGGTAGGCCATCTATTTGTCGATGCTTTTCGGTGTGCTGTTAGTGCTCTTTTGGACTCACATTTCCATTTGCTTCTCATAGTTTTCTACAAGAATGCACCTTATTTGTGTACCCCTTTCTCTGTCTTTCTCCAAAGAGTGGGAGGGTGGTGCCCGTACCCAATCTCGGCAGCACCACCGATCCACTACCAACGCGCTCTTGTCTTGGATGGATGGCTTTGGCACCTGGGCAGCAGGATATGCCGCGAGACGTACGTCGCTGAGCATGCAGCGCCGTACGAGAAGGTGTCGGAAGAGAGTCAGGAGCAAGGAAGGAAAGGTCCACATTGGCTCATCTGCACGGTATTTGTCTTGCAAATGCAGATGGAGGCCATCGCTAGGTTGCAGGCCATCGCAAATCCGGGCTCCGCACTGAGGCACTGGCGATGAACGCGTCTTCTTCTTGGGTGCGACGAATCGCGCTGAGGCGGATGAATCGCGGGCGCTGATCATCAGATTCCAAAGTATCTACCTTCTCTCCCTTGCGTCATACGGGGAAGTGGATGGAAGTGGA